CAAACAGCAATTGATCAATCATTACCACCATCGACAGCTGATACTTAATTACTATAATCTTCGAAACTAATTCTCTTTCAAACTTGGTATTATACAAAACGGTGAATTTTTTCTCTATTGTCTAGTAGTACCTGTGATACAAATTCTCTTTTGTATATTTATTTCTGTTTAATAATCGTAAGAAATTTATTTCTAGACGAAATAAAATGTAGTATAATGGCTTTTTACAACGGTTTAGTTATTTTTTGTACAACTCACGATAGGACAGCAACCTTTATCAACTACTCTCACTGGTATCCATAGATAAACTACTATAAAACATCTTCGAGAAAACCAGTTCTTAAAGGTTTTCACTATCGGACCATTAGCGAACTGTTCCATTTTCTAAATTCTTATCTACTTTTGTCTGTATTCTTCAGAATTGTTGCACGAAAGGCAATAAAATGTTCTATTTTTAATTCATAAAACAAGAAAACCATCGCACAGATATGCTCCTTTTCCTTCTTAGCCATGATTTTATTCTAAAGCAACAAATCAGAAAGAACCTCTTCAATCAAATTTCGAAGCAGACAATAGCATCTTCATTCCAAGAAACTACAAGCCACCGAATTTGAAACGACGTCGTCCATGTCTATTAATTCATCTTCTCCATCTCATTCGACTCTTTTATGCTAAAATATAAAAGAAAATCGATTAGTCAATCTTCCATCACGAGTCCCATTGTTCTCGTAAGCTGCTCACTATCATTCAACAGATCGTTATTTTGCCTAATATTTTTTATTTTCAACTATGACACTAAAGAAAACTATTATTCTAATTCTGACCACAAAAAAACGAGAAACAAACTACTGCTCACCACCGGTTGCCAAACAACTACAACCACGATACTGTTTTTCAAATCATAAAAAAATGAAAACAAAAATTCGGCACGCGGATTAAAACTAAATTCATCGACCAGGAATGAAACAACACTTAAAACAAAAACTGAAAATTGCATAATATTATATAGAAATGAAAGGCGAAATAAAAACGACTAGTAGCAGCATGAGAAAACTGTTCAACACGGTAATTCATATTGATATACGCGGTAATCGCGCGTCGCCACGAACATTGTATCATTCATACCCAAAGTGGCATCCAAGATTTGTGCATGACACGTACGTGAACTAAACGCCCCAATTCGTTGTTGATTCTCATCATAGACCGTCATATTTAGCCCACTAAAATATTCAAAAAAAAGAGACTCACTTTTTGTGATAACAAAACAGATAAATAGCTTACTGATGATTGTCGACGACAATAAGATGACTTTTCGAGTTCAACTTTAAACAAATAGGATACAAGATAAAATTTTGATCACGTAAGCAACGTAAGTATTGGCCTTGATACGAGACAATTTGAACACAATGCAATTGATTGTCGCTGATGAATATTTCATTTTTGTCGACATTTGAACAGATACCTGTTGGAAATTGAAGGTGTTGTCGTAAATTGTAACAGCCAAGCACTCGACCATCATTATTACCATCAAAAATGTGTAATGTCATGACTTTTGATTCAATGACGAGTATTTGTTGCAACGAGTCGATGGAGAACGCGCGCGGTTCTCTCAAATGTTCGCCAAATCTTGTTTTGAATATGCCATCCGAGGTGAAAATCTGGATTTGTGGCTTTGGTCGACGTTGCACAACAACGAGATCATCTGTGTGTGGCATAACGGCACATCGATACGGATACAACAAATCGCCTTCATTCTTGCCAGGATGACCGAATGAACTGTGATAGTGACCGAATGAATCAAATATTTTTACTGTGTGACTGTTGGTATCGACGACAGCAATGAAACCATTGGAAAACACCGCCAAACCATTCGGTTCTTTGAAACTACTTGGACCACTGCCATAGCTTCCCAGTGTTGAACTGTACTCGATTATTTCGCGTGTCACACCATTTCGAACTCTTGTTGATGGATATACACCACGACGATCTGAACAAACAACCGAAACTGGACACTTGACCAAAAAGAAATGCCCGCTTCTCATCGCTCGCTAAACACCAAGATACCTTGATCTTGTTCCCTAACCGTGCGCGAAACGAACATGAAACACAACGAAAGCTTACTTCTTCGTTTCACAGACGAAAGATTGTAATGACGTGATTCCAAACCATCAGTGTCTCTTGGATGCCACGCATGACGTGCTAGCAAAAAACGAGAAATCCGTCAAAACTGACACAGTCGTCAAACGCAGAAAACTCACCCTGATTATTCACTATTCGACCCAGAGGAGTGCGACACAGATAAGAAGCTGAAATGAGAAACAAAGATAAAAAGATGGACAAACTGTGTCGAAGTCGATGCCCTGTTATTACCATTTTGTTCATCGAAACTCGAATAAACTTCAGTCGAATCATCCATTGATGGTGTCGGCCAACTCGATGATGAAAGTAGATTTTCATCGTCATCAAGTAATCGAGGCTTCTTCTCCTCAATGTAATCATCCTCACTAAGGAAGAAAAACACGTTAGAGTGAAAAAAGCACAATTGTGAGACATTACCCCGTGATGTTTTCTTTATTCTCATTTTGACGTTTCATCGCACGTCGAACAAAACCACCCATAGACTGGGGCGTAGAACACAAAATCGAATGATCAAACTGAAACTAAAAGCACAAATGTCTCATCTAATGATGGTAAAATTATGTTTAGTGCGTCCTTCAAATGTCGTCAGATGAAACAAGGAGATCCTAAAACCCCGTTTCGTGACTTACTTGCGACATATTGGTACGTGTATATTGAATATCTGATCGATGATGTCGTGCTACCGATAGTGTGTGCTATGCTAGAGAAAAACATGAGATTTCAAACCTGTATATATATAAAGAGAAAAAGGAGAAAAGCATCGCCGATGAGAACAGACGAAAAAATGATTTTTAATTTTTGTCTCTCTAAAGTGTGCCTGTATTATTGATCACAACTAGTTTTAGGGTACAGTCGATTTGCATTTTTACTTTTTCTAGCATTTTTCGAGTCACAACGACTCTTTGTACTGAATGACTGTGATAGACGAGTTCATATAATTGTACATGTTTGCTGCATTTGTTATACTCTCACAAAAAGAGGAAGGAAATCAACATTTGCTGTATTTCTGTGTACAGCTGAATTCAGCCAACTCGTAAAGAAAGAAAATCTTGATAGGCGTGATTTTCAAAATGCGGATAAAGGTTGACAAGATCACAATGCCCTGTGAAGGACTTTTAACGAATTTGAATATTTGATTTACTTTACAGCCTTGATTTACATCTTGCCACGGATGTGTCCCATTTATCAGGAACTTTTTCATCCTCGTTTAGAAATCACCACTGCAGTCATTTGAAAACTGAAATGTTGATATAGAACTTTGCATAATTTTAGCAGTTTATTATGTTTTATTAACTATATTTCTAAAAGTCCTGCCATTAAACAATGAAATGTTGATACATTTGAAGCCATTTCCCTGCCTGATCGGTTTCGCGTTCGCCAACAGTGTTATCAAGATCACTAGCAGTTGTTCTTTGTTGCTTTTGCTCAAGGATTTGGCAACAACTTTTCTGATTTCATTTCGAATATCAGTATTGTTGGTACAATTTATTCAAATGACCATTTTTGTCTAATTGATAGTTTCTGTTAATAAGCGATCAATAAATTAAAACATGTTCGTACTCGACGCTATATCAGTTCTCGGTTTACTGTTATAATTAAAATTATATCTATTATTAAATGACCACCACAATATCTTTCAATCACTGCTAATATAATTTTTGTAAATAGCCAGAGCACTTCTCGTGTAGAGACTTTTATCCTATTTATTATTTCTCGTGTAAACAATTTCAACATGATATGGTGGTGTTTAAAGTGCTAAAAAATAGTGAATAATTTGATTTGTGTTTGTTTTCTCACCCGCTTTCAAGGTGTTCGTGGAAAAATTACGTTCTATCTCTTAAATGAAATCTTGGTGATTCTCGTTCAAAGTATCATGTTCATTATCATGAATGATTTTATACAATAAAATAGATGACACGAACGTCATAATCCAACTAATGACGTCAATTTCATAATCGCTTTTCCTATTGCCGTTTTATTAGATAATAATAGTTTACAGTCCTACTTCATCTGTTATACAGTGGATATATAAATTGTCAGTACGATACAGGATCCGACAGGTGCACGTGACGATCTTCTCTCGTGAGTGCCAGTGTGTGTGCTCTGAGCCATCCTTCTCTGTGTTAATGACAATAGTGAGTGGGTTATACATCAAAATATTAAAGCAAAGCGGATGAACAATGATAAGAGTACCAGACTATAAATTCGATTTTTGTTATTTTTTTCTTTAATTCAATAAGGCGAATGGCGGGAAAATGTGGTAACAGTTGAATGAATAACTGTTTCTAACTTTCTTCTCGTACACAGCAAATCTGTTCCAAAATGTTAGAATTATTTTGGAAACAATTTGTAAATTTTACTAAAAAAGTCAAAATGCACGTT